GCCAAACGGCGGCGGCAGTAGGGCGGCCGATCGTCAGCCCAGGCTCGATTGTCATGTGTTCAGCAGGAGATCCCCGTCCGAATCGACACGAGTCCCTCCGCATCTCTCCCCAACCGGTACCATGTACGGTAGTCTCGTAGTCTCGCCGCACATGCATGCACGTGCGTGTGCGCTAGTGCGCGGCCTCATGTGTAGTGGTACGCGCACAAGGTGACCAAGAGAGAAAGAGAGAGGGATTGTGTGACTGCGTAGCCAGAAGAGGGACTCGGAGAAATGTTTTTGGAGTTTGTACTGTGAGAGTTCTGTGCATTGCCACACACAGCCCACGCGAACAGAACAAACAACACTGCGGTGGTGTAGGGCGGAAGCAGGAATCTCCCGAGAACCTTGCTGCCAGGGAGCGCGCTCGTGATTTGCTGGTCGACGTTCCCGCTGTGTGAATTAGGGGCAAAATAGTCATGTCCGGCAGAAGGTCACTGCGGGTGTCTCAAGGGGTTACGAACGCGGCTGCGGCAAGTCGATCGCAGCGTTCTCACGGCATAGCATCAGCTCAACTGACGGCTAGACTTAGCGGCAGGTGGGTGCCGGAGGCCCTTGTCTTGGTCCACAAACTTATTGGAGCCTCGCTTCGTACTTTTGGCCTTCTCTGGTATACCATTTTGACGTGCTCGGGTTGATGTGAACTCCATGGTAGTTTGTAAAGTGCTACATCGTGTACCCGTGCTGCTGGTAGCACAGCAGTCGCTTCAGGACGTTCACTACACGGAGCTTACCTAGTATGCGGCACGGTATTGTTGGCGGGTTATCTCTTGCATATCATTTGGCGGACAAATATCATTGTCCTCCAAGCTAAACCCTTTTCCCTCCATTCTATTCGTGATCCGTCCACCTCTGCTCTAGGATGGGAGGGGTGCTACTAGGCTCGGCTTCGACACCAGCGCTGGGGCGAAGTGCACACAACCACCAGAGCATTCACGTGAGTGAACCACGTAATAGTCTGGGCTTTTCAGACAATAACGCCAAACAATGTACCTCTGAAAGCGATGCTATCTACATAAAGAAGTTGACGTGCGTACAGATTGCTCTACTAAACATCGTTCACACCTACCTGTGCGTACTGCGTGCCCTCTACACACTTTGGTGTGAAACTCTCTTTTTGTGAACTGCTCTCGTTCGAAACAACGGACGGTGGCACCACACGTTTGGAAGGTCCCCAATCTTGAGGGAGGAGACAATCCACTGCCCCCCCTTGACAGCTGGGGAGGAGCGACCCCGCCACGACCGAGCACCACCGCCGGCGCCTACGGACGCCCCTCGTCTTCCACCTCTGAAATTGGCGCTGGAGAGAACGGCCGCCTCTTCACACCCCCAAAGTAATTTTATCCGTGGTTGGTGCAATTCTTGTTCCAAGTCCGTTCACTCTCCTGTGCGTAGACTCTAAGAATCGTCCTTGCCACTAATAATGAATCTGTTCAACGCGTGTTGCATATGGAGCACAATAACAATAAGGAATAAATCCACGAAGACATAAACCAGTATTTATCCACGCGAGCGACCGAAAACGAAGAACACACGAATCTATCTCTTCGGTGTTTTAGGTCGTCACCAGGTCTTTCCCGCAAAAAAGCTGCGCTCGAGAACAGCAACAACAATAACTATTCGGGTGGTGCAGTCGTTCCGCTGTACCCTACCAATACCGCCGTCACTACCAACGACGAAGTTGGCGGGTATGGCGGTAGCGGTAGCGGTGGCGGTGGCGGTGGCGAAGAAGCGAACGGCCTACTCGACGACCGCGGCGCGGATATCCCCATAGGGCTGTCCAAGCTCGACCGTGAAGACTTGGAGGTGGGGGTGCATGGCGAGTGAGGGAAGGGGGAGAGGTTCTCACACTACTTTGCGCAGCCACCGTATAGCAAGGACACGTACAGCATGCTTGGTGTTGACGAGTCATGACATTCGCGGAAAACAATTTTTCTTCGCTAAAATAGGAACGTGTTCTCGAGGTAGCCAACGAATTGAACATTTGGAAATGTTTTTTTCACCGGCAGAACGAATGATACGGAGAAGGTTTGTAGAAGAATGAACAGCCCAAACAAATCTCCAGGTCAAGTCGCTATGTTTCGATACGAAACGCTCGGAAGCATGCTGTTTTTCCGGCACGTATGGCTGCGTAATAGCGCCGGAAACACCACCTCCGACGATTTACGGGACCCAGGTCCACCATTTGGCGAATCAGCAAACATGTTTTGGGTAGTTCTTTGGAACTTCGGTGCCAGCGCCTTGTGCACAGGCTATCAATGATGAAATGGAGCAGTATCAACACATCAACACCTTCTTTGACGTCAAAGTGTTGAATTATGGCGATGATACCGGCAGGTGTACGTTAATATCGTTAGGGCCAACCTCGCAAGGCAAGCGAAGAAGGAACAGGCAGCCTCGGCTTCTCTGGTGGACGATGAGACTGTCCAGGTTAGTCAGTACTGTTGATGTCAATCGTGTCTGAGCATTCCGACCACTGCTGCCTAAGTCAGTCAAACTGTATCCCCGTCCAACCGCACGGTCGTTTTTACTCACGGTGTCTCCAACGGAACCGGCTTGTGTGGTTGACACCCCAGCATCCAAAGGAGGTTGGGTCGCAATGGCGTGCGCGAGGGGTGGGCACAGGGCTCCGAGAGAGAGATCGAGAGAGACAGGGTGATGTAGGGTACAACAGGGTACAATGCGAGGAAAGAGGATGCCGGTATGGTAATTGTTTGGCGGGGCCCAATACGTGGCCACGGGACATGCGCCAGCATACACAGCCGTCACACAAGCTCAAGCGTCGACACAGACTGCCTCTTTCATCGCAGTTAGGGCCAATCGTATTGGTGTTCTCATCCTTCCTTCTTCTTGCCTCCCTCGTCCCCGTCCCCTGGGTGGATCTGTACGCATTTCGTTGGCTCGATCCGAAGCGCTCGGCCGTCGATGTCGAAAAGATCGCCGTGAGGGACAAAAGTCAGGGCCTAAATCCAAGCCGCGGCTTCCAAGGAGGCGGCGCCGGCAGTAGAACGGGAAGAAAGGCCGGAGAAAGGGGTGGGGGCGGGGGGGGGTGCGTGAGAAACGGTAGAGGGGCCCCTCGCCGGGTTTCCGGTAAGGGTAGAAGCACAGGTGCAGTCAGTGCGACTGCCGGTAGCGGGAGAGGAAGGCCACAGGGAGAAGGGGCGTGGGAGGGTGAACGGAGCAGAAACCGCCACTATCACCACCACGTCCACCATCACCATCACCATCACCAGCCACGACAACGGCGAGTATCCACGTGTTGTTTGTGTCGTCTCTTGTCGCGTGTGTGGTGGGCCTGGCGAAAGGCTTGTGTGCGATGTCGAGCTCTTGTAGGGGACTGTGCGACGGAAACGAGCCTTATGCTGGCCATAGTGAAGGCTTCGTTCAAAGCACACACCAGGCACGTTACTGAAAGTGAGATTCCACGGCAGCAAGAGACAGACCCAAGGACCACTAAAGCGCTAAGCATGGCGGAGCCTGGAAATAGACTATTTTTCTCGAACAGCAGTGTGTCTCACGGCGTTCGGAGTATCCTTGCGGACAACCTTGCCTTGCTCTTATCAGCAATCGGGCCTGCTGCAAACTCGGTTCAGGCTATCCTTGCAAAAAAAAAACAGTGATAATCCTACAATCAGAAGTCCAGCCTATGGGTGATTCAGGCGCTCATGGCTGAACGTCTGTCTGTGCATGCAATATCAAAGAATTTCGAGCGACCAGGACGGAAGGTACAAATCCCCGGCATCAGTAGCGCACGCACGGTGTAAGTTCTTGACTGTGCGTGGTGCACCTCCCCGATTGCAACCTGTATCGGTCGGTACTGGTCAACCTCGCACCCAAACCTTTGTGCCCGGCAGACAGTCACTCGAAGGGGAGCCAGCCGCGCAACCTTATTGTTTCAATCCCGGCAAGGTAGCCTGCACCACCCAATTAGCGTATTAAACGTTGTTCGATCTTTCTCCTGCCGTGCAGGGGGGAAGCATCGGGAGGAGGGTCGACCTCTTCGGCTGCAGAAGCGTCCACGATCCTGTCATCGGTCAAAGGTGGCGGCGGCAGCGGCAACGGGGACGATGATGGTAGTGACATGAACTGGTTTGCGAGATCCAAAGGTTCCAGAACAATGCCACTGCGTACCCTCATGCTTGACCCGGAGGTGGGTCGGGGTAATCGCAGATAGGGAATGTGGGGAAGGGGATGATTCGCGCTGCTACTACACCACTAAAGAGGGTCCGATGGATGGTTTTGACTATTGAATGATGGTGGGATGAAATGCTGCGGTGTTGTTTCGTTGATTGATCTACCAGCAGGTAGTTTTGATGATCCAGTAGGAGATCTTCGTTTGGAACAACCACCTCTTGGATGGTTTATTTCTACGTCGCCTGCTTAGAAGGTTCGTTGAATAAAAAAAAGGGAGAGAGGGACCTGTAGGTGGTAAGCGGGCATGGTGTGGCCGCCAGCGAAGCAACGTGCGGCGCTTTGTCCCCTCTGACGCACGCAGCCGTTTGCTTAGACCTCCTTTTCTATGACTTACCCATAGCTCTAGATCAATCCAGGACTCGACCAAGGGGGTCTGGAAGGATTTCACCGTTCTGACTGATGTGGGAAGAATGGCCTCGAATCGCTTCTCAGACGAGTGCATATACAGCTACGTTGACGATTTGCACCCGCGGCGCTTGATTATACGCCCCAGGTAAATAACATCCCCCAGGTTGCCACGCAGAGCGACTTCCGAGCGCTCATCAAGGCGCAAAACATCCCCCATCCTTCGTACGACATCGACGGAGACGGAGTGGTCAGCCATGAGGACTACGCCCTCGCGAAGGTCAGAGCTCGCTTTAAACGTCGGCCCGTGGAAAGGTATCAGCTAGTAGAAAGCAGGTCGTATAATTTTCCTAGATACACAGAAGGCGCGACCCGGGGGGGGGGGGGCGT